TCTTGGCTCTACCACTGCAGTTACCTAAAAATATAGGTGTGATCCTTTTAGAGATTGGGTTAGTGTTAAGGATTTTTAAAGGACAAGAGCCTCTTTTTGGGTCAAGCTTCAATTGAGGGTTAGGATTTTGCCAAGGGTTGATTTTAAGGGCTAAGATGTAAAAGTGGAGCACCAGTCTGCAGTAATCTATATTTCTATACTCCCACCTTGCATGCTGTACAGCTTTTATATCCCTTATTCTATACATTCCTTATATTATACATTTATTTGACTTTTCTTACCTTAAAACTGAAATAAAAGAGGTCACATGAACATCCTTGAACTTTTCACTGTGCTCTTTATTGGCCCTTAGGAGGAGTCCTGTGGAACCAGCATATTAGTGCAAGAACACACATTTGACATTTTGCTGACATCCTGCCTATCTAAAGTTGAGCTAGATTTAGCCAATTCTTGCTATATACTGTACCGTGTAAAAGCTTTTAAGCAGGTGTGAAAAAATGCTGCAAAGTAAGAATGCTTTCAGAAATAAAAGTGTTAAAAGTTTTTATCAATAAAAAAATGGAAAGTAAATGAACAGAAGAGAAATCCAAATCAATATTTGGTGTGACCACTTTTTACTTTCAAAACATCCTCAATTTTTCTAGGTTCACTTGCACAGTTGTGTTTTTTTTTAATTGGTCATTTATTAAAAAGGTCAAAAAATTACAAGAACAGTTTTATACTGTATAACATTAAAAGAGAAGTGTGGGGTAAGTGTGTTTCCCCTTAGTTCTCTTAAGGGTCACGGGAGGACATATATTAGTGTCCTCCCGTGACCCAAAGCTCATTATATCGCGAGCTACAGCTACACTGATACACATTGCTGTCGAGATCCACCCAGCTGCGTGAGTGACAGAGGGCTCTGCCTATCTAGAGGCAGAGCCAGCTGTACCCGCCCCCTCCCCCGTCCATTCCTCCAGTCAGCGCTGGAGGATCGAAGCGGGGGGGGGGATCCCTGCAGGGAGCCGTGACTGACAGTCACTACTCTCTGCAGGGAGATGATCGAGAAGTGAGTGAGCGACGGTATGTGTTATCTCACTCCCGATCTATTGAGCCGACGTGTGACAGTTTCATTGTCACACGTCGGTTCGAACTATGAGGATGAGTGATTTTCCTTTTAAGAACACCTGAATCAATAGTAGCAAAAACACAGGATCACAATAACAATGTGTAATTGTTCCAAATCAGTACATAACATCACATCCACTGTATCATCGTAGCGGAGACAAGTAGGATTGAACGTATGTATCTTCAACATGGGGAAGTTATCCCGTGAATCTAAACAGCATATAAGCAAATTGCCATGGCGTTGGTCCTATCAGTCAAAATAGCTCATGACTCAACATAAAATAAGTAAATAGGAATAATACAGGTATACTTTATATTCAAGAATAAAGAGACAATTCTAACATTGTAACGAGCCGAAAACCCCCAAATAGCTCAAGAGAGGAAGGTAAGCTCATAGGGGTTGTGGTATCTCCTGGACAAGAAACAAACCGGTATGAGAAAGAAAAAAGGTGGGGGGAGAAGGGAAGACTAGGACAAGTAGAGGGAAACTAGAAGCTGAAAGGGGGAGAATAGACCCCTCAGGAGCCCCACCCCATTAGCATATTCACCTTGGGCTAGGCAACTGTCCTCCCCATATGGGGGACAACTCAGTTGACACTGAGGGAGGATGGGGGAGCTTACATGTCCAATTGCGAGTAGGCATGGGTAGTCTTGTAGTACAGCCAAGGTCTCCACGTGGATCGGAATCTCTCCTCTGTGTTCTGCAATGAAGAGGTCATGCCCTCCATTTGACAAATCTCATCATTGTGAACCACATCTTTGTCATTGCTGCACACAGTTTTTGAAGAAACACGGCAGGTAGGTTGTTTCAAACATCTTGGAGAACTAACCACTGATCTCCTGTAGATGTAGGCTGCCTCAAATCCTTCTGTCTCCATGTAATCCCAGCCAGACTTGATGATGTTGAGATTAGGGCTCTGTGGAGGCCAAACCATCTCTTCCAGGACTCCTTGTTCTTCTTTGCACTGAAGATAGTTCTTAATGACATTGGCTGTATGTTTGGGGTTGTTGTCCTGCTGCAGAATACATTTCTGGCCAATCGCATGCCACCCTGATGGTATGGCATGATGGCTGTATTTCTTAGCATTGAGGACACTGATTTTGACCCAATGTCCAACTAGATGTGCAAAAATGCAGCCCCAGACTTGCAAGGAACCTCCATGTTTCACTGTTGCCTACAGACATTCATTATTGTACCGCTCTCCAGCCCTTCCCCAAACAAACTGCCTCCTGCTACAGCCAAATATTAAACATTTTGACTCATCCGTCCAGAGCACCTGCTGCCATTTTTCTGCACCCCAGTTTCTATGTTTTTGTGCATAATTGAGTCGGTTAGCCTTGTTTACACGTCACAGATATGGCTTTTTGGCCGCAATTCTTCGATGAAGATCACTTCTGGCCAGACTTCTCCAGACAGTAGATGGGTGTACCTAGGCCCAACTGGTTTGCGTCGGTTCAAAACTGATGGCACTGCTGGGCATTTTTTTAATGTCAAAGAGAAGTAAGCATGTGTCTTTCATCTGCTGCATAAAGCTTCCTTGGCTGATCACTGTATCTACGGTCTTCAACATTGCCCGTTTCTTTGTGCTTCTTCAAAAGAGCTTGAAAAGCACATCTTGAAACCCCAGGCTGCTTTGAAATCTTTCCAGGGAGAGACATTGCTGATGTGTCTTGTTACTGTGCTCAGTGTTGCCATGGTGTATGACCTGCAACATGAAACTGTTTGCTACAACCTCAGAGTTTGGCTGTTCCTCACCCAGTTTTAAGCCTCCTACACAGCTGCCTCTGTTTCAATTCATGACTGTGTTTCAACCTACCTATGAAATTGATGATCATTAGCATCTGCTTGGTATAATTGGTTAATCATACACCTGACTCTAATCCTACAAAATCCCTGACTTTGTGCAAGCGTGAGAATTGATGCTGGTTTGAAGCCAAAGGGTAGTCACGACAAATATTGATTTGATTTAGATTTTTTTCTTTTGTTCACTCACTTTGCATTTTGTAAATTGATAAAAGTAAACAATAAAAATATATATTAAAAAATACACACACACACTTTATTAATGTTAAGTAATATTGTTGATTGATAATTATGTTTTCTTTTTAAATACAGAATGTAATCTTCCTGACACACTTAATTCTTGGTTCCTTGTGACACAACTCCATGTCTGGTAAGCAGGGTATTGAACTGTGTCTGTCTTTGTATGCACGGTTTCATTTTTGCATCTGCTACCAACAGGCAATCGTGTGCTACCCACTGCGTCACTGAACAGTATACATTGTCCTCTCACTAAACAAGATCAACCTTTACATAGCATGGATCACATTCCTTTTTTGCCAGTGGAATAATTTGGTTGAATACTTCTGTTTTATCCAAAATAACTACTTGAGTCTTGGGTGCTGTTTTAAAATGGCAGAAAGACCTCGACTATTTGTCCCAGCACCATTTTGAGATAACACATGGACACGGTGGATCCCGCAGGTCTCATTGGCTTCTAGCTCTGGAACCACCATCTGTCAGTGACAACAGTGGACCAGCACTAAGCCCAGGAGCGGAAATAAGTTCTTGCGCTTCCAATCCTTCTACAGATTGTTCCATAGGAGAGTCCTGTAGAAGAAAATGTAAACACAGTGCTTCAGCATTGTGTTTTACATAGGGAGTGTAGTGACGTCATGGCTTGGAGGCTTGGCCAGCGCAGCTCTGTCTAGTGTTTCCCTATAACAGTAGATCACTACTATAGTGATCTATTGCTGGCTGATGGCAAGCATGGGGGGACTGGATCAGTTCACCTAAAAATATTCCCTTCCAAAATGAATCCCAAGATCACAACATTGACATTTGCACTTACTGCACAAGCATCAAATGCTCACATAAGTGAACGCAAGGCCATTCGAGATTTTAGGGATCACAAACCTTATAAAAGGTCACCGTTATGCTAATTTATTCCCCGGTTACCCCAACTTAATTTTATCTTAACGATCACTAACAATTTACACAAATAATTTTTTCCCCTCTGTGTTTTTGTAATGTATTGTTGAAAGGGGAAGAAAGCTCTCCTAAAGTAAAACGCATACATTCCATTTGATCTTTGTCATCCCACTACATTACATATAACGTTGCACTAATGTGATATTTTTATAATCCTAAGACATTGCTGATTATATTTTGCAGTAAATGTATAGGGGTGCGCAAATGATGTAAATGTTGCGTTGGAAAAATATCAATTTTCTTTCCACTTTTACTATTTCTTTCCAATAAAAACCAAGGAAATACCAATGTATGTACCAGACTTGCTACCAAATTAAAGCCCTATTGGTCCTTAAAAGAGGTGTACAATACGTTAGGGTAGACTAAAAATACTTAAAGGTATAATGTACGAAACCGAGACATCGACAAAACGGGAAAAAAAACAATGGGATTTGGGGGTGTTAGGGAGAAAACAACCCCAAGACTCAAGTTGTTAACATGATTCTTACCCTCATATATTAAAATGGACGGCTTCACTTCACCAACCACTCATAAGCTTACTGTTATTTTCCATCCTGTATTTGAAAATGTGAGCTCTAGGCTACAATTGGTTACTTTGGAAATCACCTTCTAGTTTATTTTTCGCCCATATTTATACATTAGCCCACTGCTCTTTGTTCTCAAATGTTTCTATAAAATAGATTGTAGCTATTTTTGTACATAGTGACTATCATGGTGAAGCAGCATTTACTCGGAGGACAATTTCTGTTAAAGTAACACTAAACTCAGGAGTTAAACTTTAAAAATGCATTAAAGTACCATTACTATAAACAAAAATGTATCTTATTTGTGCATCTCTCAGCTGTAGATCCTCAAATCATCTCTAAATTCATGCTAACATTGTCCTTCCTTCTGGAGGGTGGCAACTTTTGTTCTCCATGGTCCCTGTGTGAGTTGTAAAATAGTCACCGCTCCATGCTTGCTCCCATGATAGACTATAGTTTACGAATTTGTATTGAAATTAAACGTGAGATTGCAGTCCATCACAGGAGTGAGCTGGAGTGGTGGCTACTTTACAACACACATAGGGACCATGGAGAACAAAAGTAGCCACCCTCCAGAAGGAAGGACAGTGTCACCACCAATTCAGGGATGAAATACACAAGCGAGCTACATTTTTTTTTAAAAGCTATGGTACTGGAATGCATTTTTAATGTTGGACTCCGGAGTTTAGTGTCACTTTATGAAAGGGAGCATACGGGCTCTGAAATGTTCGTAAAAGAGCATTGTCCTTACAACCACGGTGTGCTGTCTTCCCCTTTTTTCTGTTCATGTGATACCATTTTCTCTTATATAATTTTCTGTTATCCCAGGGGCAAAGTTATGCTAAATCTACAGAGTGGGTCACTGACAGCAATTAATATTAGATACAGGTTCTAAAGCTACTTGGCTCAAAAGCTGAAAGCTATACATGGCTCAAATTTTGACAGATTTCTGCTGAATCACCTGAACTTCCAGCTGTGAGTGGATATGTCAGCATGATCTGAGTAAAATATCAGCAGAATTGGGTGGAAAATTCTTGGCCGAACAGTGACTGCATCCAGTCAGATGCTGTTATTGTTGGGGTATTCAATCAGCAGGCTGTCTGAATACAGTAGCTGCCAGGGGAAATCCCTCAACGCTCTTTAGTGTGGATTTGGAAACTAGCAATTTATGTTGCTAAGCCCGTGGTTTGACAAGAAAAAAATCTATACATGTATTGCTGGCTTAATACAAAAGTTGCCTACTTCATCCAAAAAGTTTCAGGTGGGAGGACTAGAGGGCTGGAAGCTGGAGTTCTGCTTTAATTAGGGCCCTAACTCTAGGGCCAAAAGTTTAGTTTTTTTTTGATAGAGTACAGAATCTTTTTAATCACGGTCAGGTTTTTATTTTCGTCTTTTATCCCATTGAGATTTTCCCTCACTTCCTGCCCCTGTGATACAGACAAAGAAATTAGGGGGTTGTTTATGGGAAATGAAGGAACAGGTAGCAATGAAAACATTTTCAGAGGTTCCAACCCCTCAAAGGTGTTTTTATCTATGTCCCCTTTGGAGTGATTTCCCATCACTCCCTGTCCTGACAGGACAGTGACACCAAACATCTAAACTTCCTCATGTGGTTATTGTATTAGTAGCTACTAACATGGATAGAAATAGACAGAACAGAATGATGTACAAAACCTCTGTTTTGTTGTACTGTACAAACAGCCTTGAAGTCACTAGTAAAATGAATATACAGTCAGTAAGTGCAGTGTTAAATGAATCTTACATCCTGTACATCTAATATCTGAGGTGTACCAAAACGTTGGTAATACTACAGGTAGCACGGTTCAAATAACATAAAGAAAATTAACAAATATATGTTCTTTTAGTTACTTAAAATTGGTTTATTTAAATGGCCCTGCTGAGATATTCGCTGCAAATTGTCAGTAGATTTTAAGAGTTATTACGCTGACATTTATGTTACACCTAAAAAATACACATGCAGTTTTCCTAAATTGCAGATTTGTTGCTTGTGAAAATATTTAACACCTAGGCAATCTTTTTCCTTTTTATCTGTGGAATAAATAGCCAAAAAAAAGGGAAAAACAATATTGTTTAATCTAGCATTATTGAAAAGGTTAGCGTATGTTGTGGCAAGGAGGAAGGTATATTTCTTAATGTGTAACAGGAACCTCACTGAAGTACATTCAAACATTTGCTAACATGCCGACAAGAGCTAACACATCATAAATTGAGCTGATTGCTAGGCTTGTCTTTAGCTGAAATGTATGGGGCCTTATTTAAACCCGGCAGTATTTTTAATGTCCTGGGTTGCCAAAACGTTTCCTTTAAGGCCTGGAATATCCCCCCCCCCTCCCGATCCGGCCGCAGGGATGGAATGCAGCGGTTTTCTGGCTATTTATCCCACTGCTGGGGTTATGATGTGATATTTGGAAATTCAGTTGACCTTGAAGATTTTCGTAGACTTTAAGCAAGTTGACATTTAAATATGGTAAACAATATTTGTCAAAATTCTTCCATCCTTATAATCACTTAGTTGTGCTGGGCCACGGTGTGCGCTGGTAGCATTCATCCATAATTAAAGCTGCAATTTGCACACTGTACTTTTGTTTCGATACGCTTTCTTGAAAATGTATTTTGTTTTTCATAGTCTTGAGAGGCACAGTGGAATTAAGCAATAGCTGATTGAGTGTAAATGTAATCATCCTTGCATTAGTCACTACTTTGCATAGTTTCCCCATTATATTTTTCAAAACATTAACCTTTCACTATTACCTATATATGAAATTACCAATATTCAATACAGTTTAGAATCATGTATGAGTTTGGCAAATCCAATTTGCAGACAGTTTGCAATTCACAGATTTCCTTGATGATATACACGGTGATTCATACTGTGAAATTACGATGTCCCAGGGCGTTCTCTCAACTAAACACTGTAGAAAGAACTCAGTGATTTGGGAGTGCCTGGTGGCATGACTTTGGCAGGTCATGTGACTGACCTCTCTTTTACAAAGTTTTAGTTTATCATTCATTAAAAGCCGCAGGAATTCATACTGTTTGAGTTATAGTGCCACCTACAGGAGGAAAAGTATATTGCCAGCCCTGTATAATAACTCCTACTCCCAGCATGCCTTAGTTTTTTGTTTTTTTTTGCTAGTGTCCAGGAGGATAGATGTCTTTTTCTGTCCTGCTGAGAAAAATCAAACTTTTTTGCTAGCAGTTTTTTTTAAAGATTTCCTTTTTTCTTCAGTCAAGATTCCTCTACAAGCTGCTTAAGCTAGTCTCTTTATGCAGCCAGTCTATATGGGTTGGTGTTTCCTGGTTCAGAGCCGTGGCACAGCCTGTCTCTTAAGACTCTTATTGTGAGTAGGCCATGCGGGCCAAGCACCAGAAGCTACTTTGTAGCGACTTTGGTCGCTTCTCGGCCTTTTGGCTAAGATCAAGTGTAGTATCTGTTCTTATCAGTTGTTGGAGGGTAGAGGATGTTGCCACCCGATGGGAGAACATTCTAGTACCCTCTGACGTAATGGTGGGTGTCGGAGGACGGTTCGGTCCACTGCTAGTTGCGTCAGGCCCTGATGTACTGGTAGACCCTAGACAGTGGGAGGACCCCCGACGGCACTACCTCCTGATGTGAGCGGAGAACCACGGTGCTCAG